GGAAGAAGTAGCGACGGAGAGGGAAGTCTGGGCTTCCCCGCTAAAGCTGCTGCCCCCACGACCCGGCCCCGGATAAGCGGTAGAAGATGGATGGATGGATGGATGCTGACAAATCCCAAATTACAGTGTGTGGTTGTTTTTGTTTTTGACAAAGCTCAATTATTAGACATTCAGTCTGCAAATGTACATGTAAAATTCACCACATATATTTTGGGGGGGGGGCAATATAAATAAGAAACCACTGAACTAAAATGAAGTGAATGCACAATTGTGCACACCCTCTTTTAAATGGAAATAGGACTGTGTTTGGAACTAATCAACACACCTATTAGCATCTTGCTTTGTGACTGCTTTTTTTTTCTTAAGACATAACATAACAAAGTTAAGAAGATAAATTTTATATACTGGTACTTATAAAATATAGTAATACAATGGTTTGTTCTTGTTCTGGATTATGAACAACTTATTGAATGTATTCAAGAAATGCAGTATACATAATGAATATGAGTCATTTGATATAAAAAGTAGAGAGAACAATTATATATATACAAACCGAAAGGTGTATCAATAGATAAGTATAGTACACAAAAGGGTAAAAGTATTTGATGATATGTAGATTTCTTCATTTTCTTTGGTATTGGAAATGATCAATACACATTATTGCACAACAAGGGGTAGGACTAGATAAGTTGTATACTTCTCCCTACTCCTTTGAACATATAACTGTGATGATGTTTGTATTACTTACTTTTATTTTCCTTTCATAATTTTTGTTTGCATTTTGTCATCTGTTATTGTATGTTTTATATATGTTCAATAAACAAACAAACAAACAAACAAACAAACAAACAAACAAACAAACAAACAAACAAACAAACAAACAAACAAACAAACAAACAAACAAACAAACAAACAAACAAACAAACAAACAAACAAACAAACAAACAAACAAACAAACAAACAAACAAACAAACAAACAAACAAACAAACAAACAAACAAACAAACAAACAAACAAACAAACGAGAACCATTTTTGCATGCCGATCACCCAAAGCAGACAGGTGGGTCCAAAGGTTCAATAAGTGCCATGCTGATACATTCTCTCACAAAAATAGGGAATAATATACATAAAGCGAAAGAAGTATTGGTTTTACCTTTGCATATGCTTTCCCGCCCTTCAGCTCCTACACAAACAGAAACATATATTTCAAATATGTTCATGTTGTGTCCACATAGATACAGCTGCTGTCTCAGAAAGTATATTTTATATAGAGCTATAAATTTTCATCATCACAGGTCTTGCAAAGTACAAGTACACTTAGAGAGAGAAAATGTGGCTCAACTCATGTTTTGGAATGAGTTAAACATTAGTTCCACTCAAGAGCCACATTTTCCCAAACAATCGAGCTGACTTGTTTTCCACAGACTCGGCTTCATGCTACTCTGCTGATAAGCATGGGCGTGATGCAATGAACCAATGACGCAATGAAAAGTAATAAAAAGATCACAATGACTCATGCCTACATTGCAATGTGTATTAGTTAAAACAACAACAAAAACTCCATCTGAAGTCTCCATTGCTGTTAGCGGTCCAATTCATCAGTCAGCTACATAACAATGAAGTAAATTGTGCAATAACTAGGGATGGGCATTTGACAAAAACAATTCTTGATCAAGGTCTGTATTGAACAATGACAAAAACAGCGATGTTGAAGTGATTTGCCAATGTCTACTGTACGAGTCCATATGTGGTGTTCCATAAATGAAAAGTGATCACAAACACCATTTAAAAATGAGAGAGCAGCTATGCCTCCATTCATAATATACCTTTCGGACTGATACACGACACACACAGGGGTCCAGTACACCAGTCCCAACGTTGGCACTCATTTTACAGGGGAAAGAGAACCTCTTCCTCCATCGCACACTATTGGCCTGGACTGCCTCCCTTTAAGAGAAAACCACAAAGATGTAAATTATTGAGTCAAATTCGGAGTAGAAGTTAATTGCGTATTATTCCTTTCTATGACTATTCCCTATACTATTCTTCGATTTTATATACCATACATAGGGAGAACATAAAAACACAGGAAGGCCAGAGCCGAGAGTAGAACCCTGAACCGCAGAACTGTGAAGCAGGCATGCTAAATGATGTATGTTTGTAATTAATATTCAATAGCATAGTTAAATGAGAAAGTACGGAAATTGCTCTTTCTTGCAATGTTTAAGATCCATCCATCCATTTTTGCGCTTATCCGGGAAAGCCAAGACTTCCCTATTTCTGGTCATTTTTTCCATTTCTTCCCAGGTGTGATGCCCGCAACACCTCATTGAAAGCATCCAGGAGGCACCCTAACCAGGTGGCCAAGCCACTTCATCTGGGTCCTCTTGATGTGGAAAATGCAGTGGCTCGACTCCAAGTCCCTCCCGGATGACAGATCTTCTCATCCCATTTCTTAGGGGGGAAACTAATTTCGGCCGGTGAAGGGTGGATCGACCAGTAAATTGATGAGGACTGCATCACTTCAGGCACGACACCTATCCAACTGACAAACTCCCGCTCCATTCTTTCTTCACTCATCAACAACATGGTTGAACTCCTCCAATTGGGGCAGGATCTCATCGCTAACCTTGAGGGGGAAATGCTAATATGAAACACTGTAGAAAAATCTTGCAAGATTGACTCTCTACTTGGGTCGTTTAGTGTTTAAGATTGCATGTTTGCCTTGTGAGTACCTTCCCAGGACCCAGGAGTTCTCCTACATTCCAAAAATGTGCATTTCAGGTTCACTCAGGAGTTGAAATTTCCCATAGATGTGAATTCCTTGTGGAGGCTCTCAGTCGTACAGGAACATTTTTTCGTAGAAAGGGTTCTGTCAGTCGTCATCTGTACCTGTGGGTAAAAAACAAAAAACAAAAAAGGACGTTTCGCTTCTCTCACAGAAGCTTCGTCAGCGGTAGACAACTCTGAAGTCTCCGTGAAGACTCCGGGAAGTTGCTCTGCGCTAAAAAGCTGAGCGTGGCCTGTTTGAGGACTGGGTGGGGATGGTTAGTCACGCCCCTATGGTGAAGAGGCCCATTGGTTTCTAAATTCCCTATCGTTGGGTCTTGATTAGGCCTATTGTTTGGGCTAGGGCTGAATAAATACTTTCAGTTAGCCTGATCAGCATGTCTATGTCCCTTGCTGGTCAACAAGTTATTGTAAATAGGAGACAGGTGAAGGAGGTATCAGATTTAACCTGTCTCCTGGTGAAGGAGGTATCAGATTTAACCTGTCTCCTATTTACAATAACTTGTTGACCAGCAAGGGACATAGACATGCTGATCAGGCTAACTGAAAGTAGCTATTCAGCCCTAGCCCAAACAATAGGCCTAATCAAGACCCAACGATAGGGAATTTAGAAACCAATGGGCCTCTTCACCATAGGGGCGTGACTAACCATCCCCACCCAGTCCTCAAACAGGCCACGCTCAGCTTTTTAGCGCAGAGCAACTTCCCGGAGTCTTCACGGAGACTTCAGGGTTGTCTACCGCTGACGAAGCTTCTGTGAGAGAAGCGAAACGTCCTTTTTTGTTTTTTACCCAAAGGTACAGATGACGACTGACAGAACCCTTTCTACCATAGATGTGAATATGAGTATGAATGTTTGTCGAATGATCAGTCCAGGGTGTTCCCCAATTCCTGCCCCAACTAAACTAATACAGAGTCCAGCTTCCATGAAGACCTGAACAGGACGAAAGACAGGAAAATGGATGGATGTCTGTATCAATGAAAACACCAATTACCAAAAGTATCCACTGCGTTAAAAGACAAACATTTTCTACTGTTGCATTGACATGAGCGTCTGCTTCCCTGAATTCATGACATCTGAACTGCTAAGGTGGAACTTGATATAATTTGAATCTCACTATTATGTCACCACACGTCTGAAGTCACAGTCTAAAATGACCAGATTATGCTAACATGCAGCTTTTGTACTTATCACAAAAAGAGATTCACTCTGCATCATTTGCATAATCATCCTTGTAATCATATTTACTGGTCACTATATTTTGCTTGATGTCTCTACGCATCATTTGAACGGTTCTCGTTGTTCAGTACTACGACACTAATGCTGTATTTACATTCCTAAAAGGCTGAACTGGGTGTAAGTGCTGACTCCTAAATGTTCTTTTTCTTTGAACTGCTTGTTGCTGAAACTCTAGTGTGGCTCAAACTACAGGAGACAAATTCATTGTGTGTTTTTTTTACATACCTGGTCAATAAAGACAATACTTATTCTGAGATAAGCTAATTATTTACCATTTGATATTCATGCCTTGATTAATCATAGAGTCGATTGAAGAGGACTGCAAGAAATGCTTTTTCAACCAACGACCGGGGGTTAAACAGGGAACAATGTGTAGCCAACTCTCTGTCAATAGATGAGAAAGAAAACCTGTGGTGAAAGAAAACGGTCTGCATGTGTGGGCAGCAAGCTGATACCCGGCATGGCTTCTCTCACATGCAACTTTGCCCACGCACCACACTGAATCCCTTCTGTCAGTTTACAGTATTCGGATCCATTCATTTTCGACTAACTGCATAGTGTTGGCCATTCACAGTGAATGGGAGAAATGAGACATAGGTTTACATGTAAAACTTATTAAAAGCAAACATAAAGGCTCACGTTGGAAATTGGAAGGCTGCTTTTACATGAAATAAAAAGCAGCAGATGTACGAGTGTTTATTCCAAGGATGATAAATGTGACAGAGTCACAGAGAGAACTCCCAGCCAGCTGGACACTGTGTGCTTGGGGAATTCAGGCTTGTTAACATGTACATGCTGCAGCTCACAACACTTCTTGGCACGCTGGAATCCAATGTTCAGTGTGCGTAAGCTTGGTTTTGAGGTTGGCCAAGACATCTTTGTATACAAATATATTGAATAGTTTGCTTCTCTTTTTCTTTTTCCATTTGCAGCTTTGTTGATTAAAAGAAAATGCTAATTTGACAAATCGGATTGGAAGTGCATGTGTACATATTCCAAAGATCAGATGTGTCAACACTGTTTTAGAGCAGAGCTAAAAAGCAGTTTCTCAGAAACAAGCCACACCAGAAGAAACTAAAAGTTCATAAACCGACCATCTGAGCTTCCTTTAAATCCATCCAACAAATGTGTAAAGAAACCTGGTTTGATGATCCAGCTCATCAGACTGCAAAGTGCTGAAGAAGTCAGTAACATAGCATATGTATAAGGAGTTTGCGTTGCCCAGTAAAATATGTCGCCAAATAAGGCTCAGATACCAATGTACTTTTTGCTTTTTAGTTGTCAGTTTCAAATTTATGGCCGAACCAGGTTTTTCATACAAATAATTACTGAGGTTGGATGATGATGAAGTTTGTTCGCATCTCTCACATCCTTGTTTTGAACCAATCCCGCATCATTTGGTCGTGCCACTGGCCACCACAAAATCCTGAAAAGACAATGATGCTTGCTTCATTATCTAGCTGTTTTAAACTACACAGCATATATAAAAGTAAACATTACAGCTTTGCATATCTCTACCTACAGTGATGTATTGGTCTGCGATTGGCTGGCGACCAGTACTCTGCCTCTCGCCCAAAGACAGCGGGGATAGATTCCAGCATGCCTGGGGCCCTAGTGAGGATATGTGATGAACTAGTTCAGTGTGTTAAGTGAGTGGCCCTTTCCTCTTTATGTGGCCCTTGAAAGAAAAAGCTTGGACACCGCTGGGTTAAATGCAGAAGCTAACACTTTTAATGAACGTTACGATGAATTACTCAGGGTGTTATTTTTAACCACTCTTAATATCAAACCTATGACTTGAATTTACATGATACTAATTTACTTTTCACAGGATTATAGGTTACACGTTCATAGAGAGTTTTATTTTTGAAAAGCTCATGAAAATAAATTTGTACAAGATTGTAAATTAGTCCACACGTTGCTCACACTGATGGGCTTGCCATCTCTGGAAGAAAAATATGTCTTTCAAACAAAACACAACAGGATGGCAACCAAGTTCAGATTGGAAGCACAAACTCGAAAACAGCTGTTGAGGAAAATGATCATATCTGGCTTTTTGGGCAATGTGCCTCAGCATTGTGGACACAGTCTAGTCTCTATTGCTGGAGATGAGAACACGTGCTCGCTTGGAATTAAAAATATCGGTATTATGCTAATGTTAGATGGTTGTTTGCATTTGAGCTGATCCACTGTTTAGTTGTTGGAGGTGTCATTTTTAGCAAAAGACATATTTTATTGTTTCATCCACCCGATTATCACTTCACTGAAGTTCTGTTAGCTGTGGCTCGCAGCGTGAGGCCGTTCGTCAAACACGGTGTCATGTCTGTGTACCAGAGGTCCCAAATGTACTATAGTCAATGAAACCAAGGTTGAACTCTTTAGCCTTCTCAGCACCAAACCCTTAAGTTGTCAGAAGAGCAAAGAACCCCCTCAACTGATTGCAATATTGTTGTACAGCAGGCTGACATCAAATGAGTCATCAAAATCCCCAAATCGTCTGAGTCATTTCTGCCAGTATACAAATTTAGCAAAAGCAATACCCACGAGATGCTGTCAGCCTGGCTCTTGATATCAATGTCTTTCTCTCATTACGGGTAACGGTGTGCCAGAGAGGAGAGTAAGAGTGGCCAACTACAACAGCTCCCAGGCCTCCCTTTAAATCTTGTACAAATACTCTACAAAACACATACTACACTTGGAAGATATTGAACCCACATTTGTTCTTGATCACTGGCAATGCCCCTGTTGTCTGACAAGGGTTAGATTCCTCTGCATCATGCTGTCCAGATACTGTGCAAGAAATTATGGCAGTGCAATCTGATTTGATGCCTAATAAGTTCCACTCTCTTCTATTGGTGCCATGACAACCTGATATACAGTATCTGTAAATGGCAATGGTATGAGACACACCATAAAAAAAGGTTCGTTTTGTTGTTGAATCGTTTTATTTAATGATTATTAGCATTCAACAAATAATAATGGTACAGTATTAACAATTAAAACAGACTCTTGGCAAAGTATGGCCCGGCCACATCCGCCCTGCCCCCAGTGTCTGATCGGCCCCCCCAGTGACCATGATGTCATTGTAAAACATAAAATATTTGGTGGGATTTTTTTAAGTTGAGCTTTTTTTAAATTTTTATTATTTTATGTGCACACGGGTGGACGCTAGTACAAGCCAGGTCATGAGAAAAAGCTATGACTTGTGCCTGAAGTGCTGCCGACTTAGCAACGTTTTGCCCACAGTATTTAGATTATTTGGATGTATAATGTAATTGTGAAGCATTCTGAATTGCATTTTTTTGTATAAAAAGAGCTGTACAAATGGTTTGTTTGATTGTTTGATTGATTGATGCTAATACCATTCTTATTTCCTGCACAGTGGAGGGAAGAGGGCCAAGATTCGATCTGATAATACTGTACAGAAATTTCCATTTACTGTACGTACAGGCTGGCGGCACGGTGGTCGACCGGTTAGCACATCCACCTTTCAGTACACAGGTGCGGGGTTCGATTCTGACTCTGACCTTCCTGTGTGGATTTCCAAAAACATGCATGGCAGGTTGAATGGACGTTCTAATTTGTCCCAAGGGGGGATTGGGAGCGCGGATGGTTGTTCGTCTATATGTGCCCTGCGTTTGGCTGGCAACCAGTTGAGTAATAATATTATGCTTCCCACTTATCTATATATTTGGGAGTCCTAAGTTGGAACGGGTAATTTGAGTTGGTAGTTGGTGCACAAAATTAATGAAATAATTGTTAAAGTGTAAAGATCATTTTAATGTCCCCTGATAATTTTCTTTAAAATATATATTTCCTAATTTTCATAATACATGCCATTTCTACACAGTAGTAATTTATTTAAACAAGATTATGATTTTACGAAATACATAAAATATAATATCGACAAAGTTGAGGTTCGCATGTTGGTTTCACCCGTGGTAAGTGTTCCAGTTTTTCATGTGACCCCCTTGCAAAATTAATTGCCCACCTCTGAATTAAACCATGAGGTTATTATGTTACTTTTGGTATGTGGTGTACAAAATGAACGAATATTTCCTGTGTGCAACAATAAAAAACTAAAAAAATTAATTATTGTCATATTAAATTTGCTCTGGTTAGTTTTGCTGCAGTTTGGCAGCCAGGAGAGGGTTGACCTGTCAACATTTTACATCGCACTTACATAACCTTTACCAACATCTTCGTGATGGTTACTGACTTAAGCCTCGCGGTTTAAGGTGCATTTCGAAAGGAAACCGCTTCGTTTAGACTGCCAGACGAGTTGGTATTGTTAGCCTTTGAGCTAATTGGGACAAGTCGATGTGGTGTAAATAATCGTATATTTAGCGCTCTAAAGCAGAATTACGCCAAATACCTCACCTCGAAGACTCCTCGGAGAATCCGCCGTCCAGGAGTCTGACTTTACAGAAGATGACTCCATTGACAAATGGAACAGACGAGAGCTCGTCCAGCTCAAAATCCACTTTAAATTTGAATTTCTTCTTTTTCATCATCATTAAATCCATACACGGGCTCGACAGTGTTGAGACGGTTGTTTAATGTTGCCTGCCGTCCATTGTGGGGAGCCAACCAACGTACATGTATTCTGGGAGGATGGGGAAGCTGCAGAGACAGGGGGCTAAACGTTGCACACCAAGCGCTTCCCATTGACCTTCAAAATAAAATACTTCAAATTGGCTACGCGTGCGGTCATCTATCGTGCGGTCATATCATATTTTTAACTGAATACTATATTCATATAAATGTTGGTCGGGTTGACAATTAATGCACATCGAATCTTTTTAGAATATATTTAATACAGTAAAAGTATATGATGTCCGGAAAGACTGCACATGCCTTACAGAAAAAGCTGAAATTCACTTTTGTTCACAGATGATTGATTTTCAGCGCTGAATGGTTGAACGTGTGTGCGCGCTCGCGCTTGCGCGCACACAGCAGAGAGCAGCGGACCATTGATCGTTGAGGCAAGCTTCACTCGAGTGGCGTCGCTACATATATTTTGTAAAATGAATTTGTCAAAATGCAATGCTTAGAGCTAAAATGAGCATCACAATATTATTAAAGTACACTGTACTGTAGATAATACAGTACACACATACAAAAACAGCAGTGGACTGATAAAATTGCTTAATGTACCCCAGAGATAATATTTTAAAATAGCTTTAAGACACACACACACACACACACACACACACACACACACACACACACACACACACACACACACACACGCGCACACAAATGGCATTCTTTCTCTATTAAACGTTGGCACCGTGTACACTTTAGCTATTTCGACGAACTTTAAAAATTAGAGGAGAAAAAAAACATATAAAACATTCATTGAACTTATTCAGAAGGCAGCGAATTTACTCAGCAATACTAAAATAATAATTGATTGAGGCTTGCTCCACTTTAATTTAATTAGTCACTGAGTTTACAATCCAGTATTTTGTCCACATTCAGAGTCAGACATTCCGACTCTGAATGTTACTTTCCTCTTCGATACAGCCGTTGCTATCGGGACCTCCAACAATCCGTTTCTACCAACGTACATGTAGTTACAACAGAACAACAGCAGATGACAGTGTTTACCCAATTTAGCTCGAGTTAAAAAAAATTTAACTCCTGTATGTCACACAAAAGGCGACACGGTCGGCGACTGGTGAGCAGGTCGGGCTTACAATGCAGAGGTGTGGGTTTCGATTCCGGCTCTGGCCTTGTTAGTATGTTTTCACCGTGCCTGCCTGGGTTTTCTCCGGGTACTCCGTTTTCCTACCCCATTCCAAAAACATGCATAGCAAGTTGATTGGGCACTCCAAAGTGTGATTGTGAGGGTGAATGGTTGTTTGTCTACGTGTGCCTTGCAATCGGCCAGCAACCAGTTCAGGGTGTACCCCGCCCGAAGACAGCTGGGATAGACTCCAGTTAGATATGAATGGATGGATGTTACATAGATAGATGGATAGATGGATAGATAGATAGATAGATAGATAGATAGATAGATAGATAGATAGATAGATAGATAGATAGATAGATAGATAGATAGATAGATAGATAGATAGATAGATAGATAGATAGATAGATAGATAGATAGATAGATAGATAGATAGATACTATATTTTGGACGTGAAGCTCCACTCGTGCCTTTATTTTGTTGACAAGTGACGAAACGGTGTGCATCCTGCCGTCGATCATATTGATAAGAGAAGCCCGTCAGGTCACTCTGTCTCTCCCTGGTGGTTCGTGAGGGCAACAGCTCCCCAAAAGACAAAAATTAAAAACAGCTGTACTGTGCAGTAATTGTGTAATCCCCACCGCTGATGTGTTGTCGTTCTCAATAGTATGGTCACATAGCAGCTTATTGCAGAAGAAGACACATTTGTGGGGTATGTGGAGGAGAGCATGTGGCAACTGTGCACATGAAGGCATGGTGAAAGATGTGAATTATGGAGGGGACCAGAGTGTCAATCTGACTGTGTGAAGTGAGGAAAAAGGCAACATTAGTCATACAGCAAGTCAAAATGAAAGAAAAACAGGCAACGAAGATGGTGCGAGAAAACCAACCATTCCTTTAGACTCCCCGCCCCGCATCCCTCGAACAGATCCCGACAATTACACAATTTGAGTAGCAGCCTTGGCCTATATATAACAAGGACCAGCTGTCAAATTCCTGCCTGTGAGTCACAAAGCTAAAACAATGCACTCAATGGTTTACAAAAATGCCAGCTAAATCTTGCGATTCCCTGGCCTATATTAGCAGATCTACCCCCGAGTTCTGGGGTTCGAATCTCTGTGTGCTGTTTGCATGTTTTCCCTGTATTTGCCCCCCTCATTCCATGCATGTTAGGTTATGTGAAGATGAAGAAAAATTGTGTGGGTGACCAGACCAGGGTGTAACCCGTCGCTCACCAAATGTCAGCTGAGATAGGGCCCAGCTCACATGAGGACACGCGTTGGAGAAAATGAAGGGTTGGATCAATAGAACTGTGATGACTGGCGAGCAGTCCAGAGTGGACCCCAACCCAATTCTTATCCATAAATAGATAGTTGGATTAAACCCAATGATGACAGGCGGTACAGTATACAATATGGATGAATGGGTGGATGAAAAGAGCAGTACACAGACAGTTGCATTCCACTTCGGTTTAAGAGAAACTGGAGTAGTTCACACTAAATTCTTGCCTCTTTGGCAGCTGTTATATGTTTATTTATGATGAGACTGTGGCATAATTATAAACATATTATGACAATTTTAAAATCAAATGACTAAAATTGGCATTTTACCTTGCCTAATACTGTGCAGTGATTCCCACAATGACTGTGCTGCTCCTCATTAGTGTGCCATGAGAGATCATCAGGTGTGAAGCGGGAAAACATGAAATTTCACTTTATTTAGCCCCCAAAATACAAAGTATATCATCATTAATTTGTGTAGCAGTGGTTCTTAACCTGGGTTCGATCGAACCTCTGCCATGGAGGTTAAGACACACCTGACTCAAGATGTCAATTAGTTATGACACGGTCGCTTGGCCATCACTGGCTGCAGATGATCACATTACATTGCTTGTCCAATCAGTGCTGCGGGAAATTTAGTTCGGTCAGTAGTCAAGTTTGGGAAACACTAATGAATACAAAGGAAGGAGATAAAAGTGACAATGGACCCAACATCATCATCATTCTCTGCCCGTTCTCCAAGGTCGGGTAGCAGGGGCAGCAGCTCAAGCAGGGAAGCCCAGACTTTCCTCTCACAAAGCCACTTCGACAAGCTCCTCCTGGGGGACTCTGTGGTGCTCCCAAACCAGTGCTCCAATTTGTCCTGGGTCATCCTCTGGGCCTCTCCTCCTGGGGGACTCTGTGGTGCTCCCAAACCAGCCGGGAGGCATAGTCTCTCCAATTTGTCCTGGGTCATCCTCTGGGCCCCGTTACATTGGCACACCTCACCAGTGAGGTGTCCAGATGTCCAGATGGCATCCTAACAAGATGCCCAAACCACCTTATCTGGCTCCTCTCAATGCATAGGAGCAATGACTTGACTCGGAGCACCTCCCGAATGACCAAGCTTCTCACCTTATCACTAAAGGAGAGCCTGGAAACCCTGTGGCGGAAACTCTTTCAGCCGCTTTTATCCAGGATCTTATTATTTCTGTCACACCACAGCTTGTGACCATAGGTGAGGGTAGTAACATACCTGTAGATCCTCCCTGTGGCTGCATGGATTTCCTGAGGGTACTCCGGTACCCTCCTACATTCCAAAAACATGCATGGCACGTTAATGGAACACTCTTCAATTGTCCTTAGGTGTGAGTGTGAGCGCGGATGGTTGTTCATCTATGTGTGCCCTGTGAGTGACTGGCAACCAGTTTAGGGTGTCCCTCGCCTACTGCCTGAGGACAGCTGGGATAGGCTCCAGCACGCCTCGCAACCCTGGTGAGGATAAGCGGATCAGAAAATGGATGGATGGATGGATGGAGAATTGTTGATACGTTGAAAATCCTTTCCAAGGTGAATTGAATGAGCTGAATATTTGAATTTCAAAAAGGAACAATGTGACTGTTGAATGTATCATTGGGAATAAATATGTGAATTGAATGAGTTGAATGTTTTGAATTTTAAAGGCAATGTTGTGAATCTATGTTGAACACCTCACCGCGAATGGATGGGGAATATTTCATGGGATTTTGAATGGTGAAAACTTCACATTTTGGTATGTTGAAAATTGGTCTGGAGACCAACTGAATAAGCTGTATGTTTGAATTTCAAAAAGGGATGGTATGAATGTTGAATGTGTCATTTGGAATGAATCTTTTTTTTAAAAAAAAAAATTGGGGGGGGGCGGTAATGGTGAAAACTTCACATTTTGGTATGTTGAAAATTGGTCTGTATTATGAAACTGAATAAGCTGTATGTTTGAATTTCAAAATGGGATGGTATGAATGTTGAATGTGTCATTTGGAATGAATCTTTTTTTTAAAAAAAAAAATTGGGGGGGGGCGGTAATGGTGAAAATGTTTAATTTTTGGTCAATGGGAATTTTTGGCAGGTTGAAAGTCGCTCCTCAGGTGAATTGGATGAGGTCAATAGTTTGAACAAAATGTGAACGATGTGAATCTGCTATGTTCAATGTGTCATTATTAGGAAAGAATGAGGAATATTTGTGTGCGTATGTGTGATTTTTTTGAATCTGTTGAAATGTATTTGGGTTACATTGAATGAGGTGAATGTTTTGAATTTCAAATGGCAATTATTAATTGTATTGCCTTCAGCCTTCACACATCTAATGTTTTCAAATAGCAGCTTTCCAAATACGACCCACCCAGTAGTATGGAAGGCCGCAGTGTTATCGCTGAAGGGTGTGTCTGCCTGCCTCCTGAGCATGTACGCGCACTGAAAAGAGGAGGTCTTAAAGGCAAAGTCAGTCGAGTGTGCGTCTTCAAGTCTTCTCACTATCTCTTTCACACGCCCACGCTTCTTCCGGAAAAAGAACAACAAAAACAGCGATTTTGTTCACTACTTAATGCAAACATCTCCCAGTTGACGTAAGCTGTTTTTAGTACGACGGACGACATTGCGGAAATCCATCAGAACTTCCACGGAACTGAAACCAGAAGCGGCGACCACAGGAGTGTATTTGCTACGACAGCTGGAGATTTTTGCAGTTGTTTCTTCGAGCAAATAATGTATCAAATAGTTAGAAAAATGTTTTTTACGGTCGGCCACTGCGCAGCGGACGCGTCCAAAACCTACGAGGAGCTGTTTGCCAAACTCGACACGAACAAGGATGGAAAAGTGGATGTTTCGGAATTGAAAGCAGGCCTGTCTGCAATGGGCATCCGTGCCGGGAAAGGAGCGGCTCAGGTAACTGGATAACCTGTCATAAATGCTTCTACCTAGGTTGCACAATACAGTACTCATTGTCTACAGACGCAAAAAGGAAAACAGGTACAGTATTGTATTTTGATACTGGTCTAAATTTGCGTCCAGACAGTCAAGTACTGTATCGTAGTCCTGGATTCTTTGTGTAGTTGGGGAGAAACTTAATATCCTCCTTAGATCAAGTTTCCTTACGCAGGGTGTAAACATCCTCGGTGAAGTTACTAAAACTTGAGTTTAACAGTCACAACAATACAGGAGGTATTCGGTTTACGACGGAGTTGTGTACGTAGGTCGAATGCGCCGTAGTCTCTAACCTACTCAACCGCTATGGTTAAGTCAGAAAGATTGTAAATAATTGTGTCAAAAGCACTTCGATGTAAATAGAAAACAATCAGCTGAAAAATACTAAGTAGCCGACTTATCTTATACCATGAAGTCTAGTGAGCTCCTTGGTGGCCAACCAATAGCAGGCAAGGGTTGGGGAGGGCCGGGGTGCGGTGGGGGTGGGGGGTTGAGGAAGTAATAATAATAAGTTAAAAACAACATCAAATAAAATAAGAAAAAATAAAACAAAATAAAAATAATGGATTTATCGTCCGAGTGAATAGGCTTGTCTAAACAGATGTGTTTTGAGGCTGGATTTGAAATGTGATAATGTAGTAATGAAGTAATTTATAAATATATTTTAGAATATCAAATAATATGCTGAAGGTGCTAAACTTGGGCTACACAGATTTCTGACAGGGATATAGTCCCACCTTTCCCTGATGTTGTACCATCCCTGATAGCAGGGCACAGACAAACCACCATTCACCCTCTCATTTTCTTAGACAATATAGAGCAGGAGTGCCCAAGTCTGGTCCTCGAGATGCCCTATCAGGCCTGTTCTAGATGTCTCCCTACCTCCAACACACCTGATTCAAGTGATCAGGATCGTTATCAGGCTTCTGCAATGCTTGCTGATGAACTGATCATTTGAATTGGGTATGTTGGAGGAGGGAGACATCTGAAACAGGCTGGACATGAAGTGGCACCCCTAATTTAGAGTCTTCCATAGCGTACCATTCATGTATTTTGAATATGGCATATTCAGAGAAATGCTCGTACCTGGTGATAGCTGGTGACCAGCTGGAGTCTTGCTGGTGTCACCAGCTACCAGCAGGGCAACAACAGCAGCCCAACTCGGGAATGACCTCCAAGCGGTGTTGGGCGTGCCTTCGGGCTACGAACAGTTCCCAATCAAGAGCCGGCAACTAGGTCTGCAGGTACCCGGGTCGCTGCGCCTTTAGGAGCCGCTTTGGGACCCAGTCAGAGGTTGCTCAACAACAACAACGATGACAACGACAACAACAACAACAGCAACAACAAGCATGTTGGCCTTGCTGGGCATTAGTGGCTCAGTTCATAAGAGCAGGTTGACCAGTGACTGAAGGTTTGGCTATTCAAATCTTGACTGTTTTGTTTTGCGTTTGTGAGAAAACACAAAAACAACATGCTGGTTTTTGCTGTTTTTTTTTTTTTTTTTTGCCAAGCAGGGTCTTCTTTAGTCCGAGTGCATTCTCTGTTGTAAAATATGCATTAAAAGTAGGGCTGTATGCTTTTTCTACAACACTTGTCCTTATTAGAGTCACAGGTGAGCTAGAGTACATTCCAGCTGATTTTGTGCAAGAGGAACGGTACACTCTGGACTGGTCGCCAGTCATTTACGGGTCATATGTTCATTTTCACTTCGATAGTCAATGCCTCACTGGTTCCAAACGTCTTTGATACACTATTTCAAGGAAAAATTATGGACTACGAAATACACTTGAAGAAAAGCTGTGACAACATCTTTATCCACAAAAACTCATTTGTACATACATTACGTTGGCCGCTTCGGGTCTCCAGGTCATCACATGGGATATTTGCAAAGAAAGGTCACATAGATGGATTTTTAAAAAAACGTTTATTAATCTTAAACACTGTGAGATTTTTTTTCCCCAACAATGCCGAACGCAGCTGGTTACACGGTGGCATCCCAGAACCTTTCTCCGTCACTCTTGTTGTCACACGATGCCAATTCAAGCTTCATCAGGCATCACTGCACATAAGACTATGGCAGTGCAGCCTTTGGTAAGCCATTTGTTTCGTGCTTGGGAACCGCAGGGGATGTCGCTCCTGGGCCAGAAATGCCGTCTTCGGTGGCTAGCTGTTAGCGTCTGTTGTCACTTACTAGTGATGGTGAGACTCTGTCGCTAAACAGTTTAATTGGTCGGCGATGATATGTTCGGTCATTTAATTGGTCTGATGTGATGAAACTTTGATGTATCTATTGACGACCGGAAGCTCGTCAGTAAAAATTGCTAAATAAACCATGTCACATCAAAAGCCTTGTTGGAAGAAAGTAGCGGTTTATAGTCCAGAAAATGCATTAAATGAAAGGGATTTTTCAATTCTCAAACTAAAAGTAGTCTTGTAGTTGTTTCATTGTGTTGTCTTTACAGTAATGCATAGAATGTTAGTGCTCTTTTTAAGACTTTGGGAATCTTGTGGGCACAGACACAAACTGTCTTTGCTCAACTTTATGGAGGAGGGGCCCTGTTTCTTTTTCCCAAGGCTTTTTGTTTCATAATGATACATGTTTTGATCACAAGTTTCCTTTGAGCTTCAACTTAACAAGAGATCAACTCTTCCTTTGGTCCGAGAGCCATTTTTTGGGATCATAGAGTTTTCGATGTAATTATTTTGCAGAGCTAGGAAGTGTGACAAAATTAAAAACACCGGGGACAGTGCCTCTAGATTGGCAGACCGGGTTGGTGGTCCCTCTTTTCAAGAAGTAGGACCGGAGGGTGTTTCCAATTTAATTACAGAGGAATCACACTCCTCAGACTCCCTGGTAACGTATATTTGGGGCTGGTGGAGAGGAAGGTCCTTCGGGAGATCGAATCTCGGATTTTTCATTTTCGTTGTGCATGAAACTGTGGAAAATTTGGATTATGATGGAAGTACATCCTTAAAGGTATTGAAGGGAATTTTCCAGATGTCAAAGCGGTATCATAATGTTTGTAGACATTAAAATATAATTGATCAATACTGCCTTGTACCAATAATATTTTCTATTCCTTTAAGAAAATAATTTCGTCAGGAGACCAGGACCAAGACGAAGGCCTCACTTTCAACGAATTCTGAGCTTCAACTTAACCAGAGATCAACTCTTTCTTTGGTCCCAGAGCCATTTTTTGGGATCATAGAGTTTTCGATGTAATTATTTTGCAGAGCTAGGAAGTGTGACAAAATTAAAAACACCGGGGACAGTGCCTCTAGATTGGCAGACCGGGTTGGTGGTCCCTCTTTTCAAGAAGTAGGACCGGAGGGTGTTTCCAATTTAATTACAGAGGAATCACACTCCTCAGACTCCCTGGTAACGTATATTTGGGGCTGGTGGAGAGGAAGGTCCTTCGGGAGATCGAATCTCGGATTTTTCATTTTGGTTGTGCACGAAACTGTGGAAAATTTGGATTATGATGGAAGTACATCCTTAAAGGTATTGAAGGGAATTTTCCAGATGTCAAAGCGGTATCATAATGTTTGTCGACAGTAAAATATAATTGATCAATACTACCTTGTACCAATAATATTTTCTGTTCCTTTCAGAAAATAATTTCGTCAGGAGACCAGGACCAAGACGAAGGCCTCACTTTCAACGAATTCTCCAAGTACCTGAAAGAACACGAAAAGAAGTTGCAACTGACCTTCAAGAGCTTAGACAAAAACAATGATGGTAAATTGAAATTTTTCTGCCTACAAGGATTACCATGGGTCAATAAAAATGCCATGATTTGGCCGCAGGTGTTACTTTTTTTTTTTTCAACAGGTCAAATAGACTTCATGGAGATCAAGCAGTCTCTTGCAGACCTTGGGCTGGATATCGGCAAGAAGGAAGCAGAGAAGATCCTTCAGAGGTATTTTCTTTAAATGCTCCCGATTAATCAACACTGCATGGTTCAAATGAGACAAAACCTCTCTCAAGTGGCAGAATTCAAATAGCATCTGGGAAGTGTAAAAAAGAAAAATGGAATCGCATATACTCAGATTCCATGTGAAACATTCACAAAGTCCACGGTTCAGTTCGTATATCTATTTTGTGGTGACTATACTCAGTTTGGTTTAAAATACTTATATCCCCCATGCATTTAAATTGCCGTCGGTTAAATGCAATTACATGCAGATTTTCACTATTCCCACGCCAGCCTTATTCGCCGTGAAAAGCCGGGGTCAACTGTAAATATAATGTTTGAAAAAAAAATTTTTTGTTCTCTTATATATGTAAATATAGCATTTTTCCTTAAATTGCATGAAATCTTTATTCCATTTGTTCATAAAATACATACTTTTGTATAGAACACAATAAAATTAACTAATAAACAAATACAGACAGACAAACATACATACAAAACAACATAAATATCCAGTGGCAGGAAAAAGTCCCAATTAAAATATAAGGTTGTACAACTTATTTTTAAGAAATACATTGAAGTGCAAAAAATTACATTGGATACAGTGCTTTCGGTAACATGTGTGTGGTAAGGTGTAAATAAAGCCATTCAGAAAAGAAATACAAGACTGAATGTTGAGAATACTGTACTACAAACTGACCAAACTTGATTGTCCTGCGCAGGCCCCAGGCACGCAGAGAAACTCTGCAGTGATCAGAGGATTTCCCCTGCTTTGAACGGTAGCGTAATGAAGCTAGATGCTAATGCCAAGGCAAACCTCAACTCAACTGTATTTATAGAGCACTTTAAAACAGCCATCGCTGTATACAAAGTGCTGTACATGGAGCAACTATCATATGTACAACAATAAAGCAATAAATCAGTAACAAAGACTGTAGAAAGCATCAAACAGTAAAACTAAGATCAAGTGATTTTGCAGAGCTAGGAAGTGTGACAAAATTAAAAACATCGGGGACAGTGCCTCTAGATTGGCAGACCGGGTTGCTGGTCCCTCTTTTCAAGAAGTAGGACCGGAGGATGTTTCCAATTTAATTACAGAGGGATCACACTCCTCAGACTCCCTGGTACCGTATATTTGGGGCTGGTGGAGAGGAAGGTCCTTCGGGAGATCGAATCTCGGATTTTTCATTTTGGTTGTGCACGAAACTGTGGAAAATTTGGATTATGATGGAAGTACATCCTTAAAGGTATTGAAGGGAATTTTACAGATGTCAAAGCGGTATCATAATGTTTGTAGACAGTAAAATATAATTGATCAATACTACCTTGTACCAATAATATTTTCTGTTCCTTTCAGAAAATAATTTCGTCAGGAGACCAGGACCAAGACGAAGGCCTCACTTTCAACGAATTCTCCAAGTACCTGAAAGAACACGAAAAGAAGTTGCAACTGACCTTCAAGAGCTTAGACAAAAACAATGATGGTAAATTGAAATTTTTCTGCCTACAAGGATTACCATGGGTCAATAAAAATGCCATGATTTGGCCGCAGGTGTTACTTTTTTTTTTTCAACAGGTCAAATAGACTTCATGGAGATCAAGCAGTCTCTTGCAGACCTTGGGCTGGATATCGGCAAGAAGGAAGCAGAGAAGATCCTTCAGAGGTATTTTCTTTAAATGCTGCCGATTAATCAACACTGCATGGTTCAAATGAGACAAAACCTCTCTCAAGTGGCAGAATTCAAATAGCATCTGGGAAGTGTAAAAAAGAAAAATGGAATCGCATATACTCAGATTCCATGTGAAACATTCACAAAATCCACGGTTCAGTTCGTATATCTATTTTGTGGTGACTATACTCAGTTTGGTTTAAAATACTTATATCCCCCATGCATTTAAATTGCCGTCGGTTAAATGCAATTACATGCAGATTTTCACTATTCCCACGCCAGCCTTATTCGCCGTGAAAAGCCGGGGTCAACTGTAAATATAATGTTTGAAAAAAAAATTTTTTGTTCTCTTATATATGTAAATATAGCATTTTTCCTTAAATTGCATGAAATCTTTATTCCATTTGTTCATAAAATACATACTTTTGTATAGAACACAATAAAATTAACTAATAAACAAATACAGACAGACAAACATACATACAAAACAACATAAATATCCAGTGGCAGGAAAAAGTCCCAATTAAAATATAAGGTTGTACAACTTATTTTTAAGAAATACATTGAAGTGCAAAAAAATTACATTGGATACAGTGCTTTCGGTAACACGTGTGTGGTAAGGTGTAAATAAAGCCATTCAGAAAAGAAATACAAGACTGAATGTTGAGAATACTGTACTACAAACTGACCAAACTTGATTGTCCTGCGCAGGCCCCAGGCACGCAGAGAAACTCTGCAGTGATCAGAGGTTTCCCCTGCCTTGAACGGTAGCGTAATGAAGCTAGATGCTAATGCCAAGGCAAACCTCAACTCAACTGTATTTATAGAGCACTTTAAAACAGCCATCGCTGTATACAAAGTGCTGTACATGGAGCAACTATCATATGTACAACAATAAAGCAATAAATCAGTAACAAAGACTGTAGAAAGCATCAAACAGTAAAACTAAGATCAAGTGTGAGTCATGCTGAGTCAAATGCAAAAGAATACAAGTGCATTTTGAGACGAGTTTTAAAGATGGGCAGCGAGGGGGCTTGCCGAATGTTCAGTGGGAGGTCATTCTAGAAAGAGGGACCAGCAACGGAAAAGGCTTGGTCCCCTCTGAGCCTCCGCTTAGTTCTTGGTACTTCTAATAATGTCTGGCCCGCAGACCTGAGGCGCCGGGCAGGTGTGTAGGGGCGGATGAGCTCAGAGAGGTAAGGTGGTGCGAGGTCATTTAAAAATTTGAAAACAAACAGTAGGATCTTAAAAAGAAACCCTAGTGAAACACTTCCTATCACTTCAGTGATCAGCAAGCAATTTGCCTTGTTACAAAAGCACAAGCACAGCAACTATCGTGAAAGTAGTAGGCCGGCTCACAGGTGTTGATGCCAGCCAAAAAAGGCAATGCAACCGCAGTGAAAATAAAGTCACAACTTACTTATTTCACAACCAATTTTCATGAAGCTTAAGTTCAAGGAGTGTCAAATAAAAATGACACGTATTCATCTTCAAAAAGTCTAGCACCTATTTTTCAATTATGCCAATTTGCACATACAGTACTGTACTCCAGAATGTTTTGAAGAGTGACCAGATGGATTACAATAAATTGCGAACTCCATCTTTGCCATGAAAATTAGCCTTATTGAACTTCAAGAAGAAAGGTTCAAATAGAGGTGAAGAAGGCTTCAGGTAGCTCAAGAAAGTCCAAAACATCTGGGTCTTTCTCCGAAAGTTGATTCTGCTGCGGGATCAGAGCGCCACCAGTGCAGAAGTGAGTAAAGAATCGCAGCAGACAGGTGTGAGTGCATTTACACGCACAGTCGGGCAAAGACTTATGGAGGATGGCCGGTTGTCAAGAATGACAACAAAGAAGCCACTTCTCTCAAGGAACACCGTGAGGGACAGACTGATATTCTGCAAAAGGTACAAGGATTGCACTGCTGACGACTGTGATAAAGCATCCCGAGACCATTCAGGTGCGGCGTTGCATTTGAGCACAGTGACTGGGTTGACTCGCGGTTTTGCCTAAGAACACAGCCATGAACACAGAATGGTACCAAAACGTCCTCCAAGAGCAACTTCTCCCCACCATCCAAGAACCATGTGGTGGCGAGCAATATCTTGGTCCAACGTAAACACCTTGCCACAAGGCAAAAGTGATCATTAATGTGGCTCAGTGAACAAAACATCAGCATTTTTAATTAAGGCACAGGAAACTCCTCGGATCTTCATCCCATTGAGAACTTGTGATCAATCCTCAAGAGGCGGGTGGACAAACAGAAAGTCACAAATTCTGACAAACTCCAAATACTGATTATGCAAGAAGGAGCTGCCATCAGACAGGATGTGGCCCAGAAATTAATTGACAGCATGCCATCCAGAGGTCTTGAAAATTTTATCGATGTGTGTGTGTGTGTGTGTGTGTGTGTGTGTGTGTGTGTGTGTGTGTGTGTGTGTGTGTATATATTTGTCTCTTTGTACACACAATACAAAATTCATTTTACAATTTATCAAATTTCTTTTCAAATGCAAATGTTAAGCTCCGTATTTAAGTCCCAATCGCTTCTGTCTCAAACGCTTTGTACAGTATGGATGGAGATGGCACCATGACTGTGGACTGGAATGAATGGAGGGAGCATTTCCTGTTGACCACAGCCACCAACCTTGAGGAGATTGTCCGATATTGGAAACATACGACGGTATGTGGGAAATCAGCCTCCAATCACAATTGCAGCTTGGCGAGAATATCTACCCCCCCTGTCATCGTTTGATGTTGGACTTTTCTTCTAACCAGAGTATGATCAGATTTTTTTTCCCAAGATAATGGTAGGGCATTATACAGAAAACTAAGCACTGTGACTACATTATTTTCAAACAGCAGCTTTGCAGCAATACGTTACAAAATGAATGGAGGACACGCTCAAATATGTCTTGATCATGATGGAAATGAATGAATTAACCATGATTTCAAAATAGTTACATCAGGGGTTTTGACAGAACTTCTCAAATCAGGGGACAGGTATTTTCTTTAAATGCTGCCGATTAATCAACACTGCATGGTTCAAATGAGACAAAACCTCTCTCAAGTGGCAGAATTCAAATAGCATCTGGGAAGTGTAAAAAAGAAAAATGGAATCGCATATACTCAGATTCCATGTGAAACATTCACAAAGTCCACGGTTCAGTTCGTATATCTATTTTGTGGTGACTATACTCAGTTTGGTTTAAAATACTTATATCCCCCATGCATTTAAATTGCCGTCGGTTAAATGCAATTACATGCAGATTTTCACTATTCCCACGCCAGCCTTATTCGCCGTGAAAAGCCGGGGTCAACTGTAAATATAATGTTTGAAAAAAAAATTTTTTGTTCTCTTATATATGTAAATATAGCATTTTTCCTTAAATTGCATGAAATCTTTATTCCATTTGTTCATAAAATACATACTTTTGTATAGAACACAATAAAATTAACTAATAAACAAATACAGACAGACAAACATACATACAAAACAACATAAATATCCAGTGGCAGGAAAAAGTCCCAATTAAAATATAAGGTTGTACAACTTATTTTTAAGAAATACATTGAAGTGCAAAAAAATTACATTGGATACAGTGCTTTCGGTAACACGTGTGTGGTAAGGTGTAAATAAAGCCATTCAGAAAAGAAATACAAGACTGAATGTTGAGAATACTGTACTACAAACTGACCAAACTTGATTGTCCTGCGCAGGCCCCAGGCACGCAGAGAAACTCTGCAGTGATCAGAGGATTTCCCCTGCTTTGAACGGTAGCGTAATGAAGCTAGATGCTAATGCCAAGGCAAACCTCAACTCAACTGTATTTATAGAGCACTTTAAAACAGCCATCGCTGTATACAAAGTGCTGTACATGGAGCAACTATCATATGTACAACAATAAAGCAATAAATCAGTAACAAAGACTGTAGAAAGCATCAAACAGTAAAACTAAGATCAAGTGTGAGTCATGCTGAGTCAAATGCAAAAGAATACAAGTGAATTTTGAGACGAGTTTTAAAGATGGGCAGCGAGGGGGCTTGCCGAATGTTCAGTGGGAGGTCATTCTAGAGAGAGGGACCAGCAACGGAAAAGGCTTGGTCCCCTCTGAGCCTCCGCTTAGTTCTTGGTACTTCTAATAATGTCTGGCCCGCAGACCTGAGGCGCCGGGCAGGTGTGTAGGGGCGGATGAGCTCAGAGAGGTAAGGTGGTGCAAGGTCATTTAAAAATTTGAAAACAAACAGTAGGATCTTAAAAAGAAACCCTAGTGAAACACTTCCTATCACTTCAGTGATCAGCAAGCAATTTGCCTTGTTACAAAAGCACAAGCACAGCAACTATCGTGAAAGTAGTAGGCCGGCTCACAGGTGTTGATGCCAGCCAAAAAAGGCAATGCAACCGCAGTGAAAATAAAGTCACAACTTGCTTATTTCACAACCAATTTTCATGAAGCTTAAGTTCAAGGAGTGTCAAATAAAAATGACACGTATTCATCTTCAAAAAGTCTAGCACCTATTTTTCAATTATGCCAATTTGCACATACAGTACTGTACTCCAGAATGTTTTGAAGAGTGACCAGATGGATTACAATAAATTGCGAACTCCATCTTTGCCATGAAAATTATCCTTATTGAACTTCAAGAAGAAAGGTTCAAATAGAGGTGAAGAAGGCTTCAGGTAGCTCAAGAAAGTCCAAAACATCTGGGTCTTTCTCCGAAAGTTGATTCTGCTGCGGGATCAGAGCGCCACCAGTGCAGAAGTGAGTAAAGAATCGCAGCAGACAGGTGTGAGTGCATTTACACGCACAGTCGGGCAAAGACTTATGGAGGATGGCCGGTTGTCAAGAATGACAACAAAGAAGCCACTTCTCTCAAGGAACACCGTGAGGGACAGACTGATATTCTGCAAAAGGTACAAGGATTGCACTGCTGACGACTGTGATAAAGCATCCCGAGACCATTCAGGTGCGGCGTTGCATTTGAGCACAGTGACTGGGTTGACTCGCGGTTTTGCCTAAGAACACAGCCATGAACACAGAATGGTACCAAAACGTCCTCCAAGAGCAACTTCTCCCCACCATCCAAGAACCATGTGGTGGCGAGCAATATCTTGGTCCAACGTAAACACCTTGCCACAAGGCAAAAGTGATCATTAATGTGGCTCAGTGAACAAAACATCAGCATTTTTAATTAAGGCACAGGAAACTCCTCGGATCTTCATCCCATTGAGAACTTGTGATCAATCCTCAAGAGGCGGGTGGACAAACAGAAAGTCACAAATTCTGACAAACTCCAAATACTGATTATGCAAGAAGGAGCTGCCATCAGACAGGATGTGGCCCAGAAATTAATTGACAGCATGCCATCCAGAGGTCTTGAAAATTTTATCGATGTGTGTGTGTGTGTGTGTGTGTGTGTGTGTGTGTGTGTGTGTGTGTGTGTGTGTGTGTGTATATATTTGTCTCTTTGTACACACAATACAAAATTCATTTTACAATTTATCAAATTTCTTTTCAAATGCAAATGTTAAGCTCCGTATTTAAGTCCCAATCGCTTCTGTCTCAAACGCTTTGTACAGTATGGATGGAGATGGCACCATGACTGTGGACTGGAATGAATGGAGGGAGCATTTCCTGTTGACCACAGCCACCAACCTTGAGGAGATTGTCCGATATTGGAAACATACGACGGTATGTGGGAAATCAGCCTCCAATCACAATTGCAGCTTGGCGAGAATATCTACCCCCCCTGTCATCGTTTGATGTTGGACTTTTCTTCTAACCAGAGTATGATCAGATTTTTTTTCCCAAGATAATGGTAGGGCATTATACAGAAAACTAAGCACTGTGACTACATTATTTTCAAACAGCAGCTTTGCAGCAATACGTTACAAAATGAATGGAGGACACGCTCAAATATGTCTTGATCATGATGGAAATGAATGAATTAACCATGATTTCAAAATAGTTACATCAGGGGTTTTGACAGAACTTCTCAAATCAGGGGACAGATGATGAAGTGTAATGGCACATGTACTACAGGTGGCAGCAGTGCTGCCATTGGCAGTGTGTGCTGGGAGTATTGAGTATTGGCTCTACAGCACGTGTCAAAAGTCAAGGCCTGGGGGCCAGATCCGCCCCCCCCCATGTCACTTTGTGTGGCCCGCGGGAGCAAATCATATGTGTCAACTTTCATGATTATTGCTGGTATCTGTACCGAAATGTCAAATTGTCATGGGTAATAAATAATGAGATTTTGCACCCGCCCTCTGAGGGAAGCCGAAACTCCGAAGTGACCCGTGACAAAAAATGAGTTTGACCCCCCTGCTCTAAAGTGTAGTTTTTAATGTGCCCCCCCCCCTCCAATAACCATGCACACCTACAGTAGGGATGAACAATTTGGGAAAAAAGTAATCAGGATTATTTTGATTGAGATTGAAATTATGACTATTCATCCATTTAAAAACTTTTATTATTCAACTTTTATTTATTCAACTACTAAATCTCAACTACTCAAAACTATAATCATAGCCTCGTACCGATAAATCCCTGTGCGTTGAACACGATTCTTGAACATCTATTATTTTTGTTCTAGTAAAAAATGGCCTACCAAATATGCCCCTTGCATTTTCATTTCGCTCTATTCACACCTTTTATCCCTTGCATCTTTGCCTCTAAGCAAAATCTTTATCCCTTCATCATATTTATTTAATCTTATGCTTTGTTTTTTTTTCACAAATCTTTGCTGGGATAACCTGGGACCTCAGGGATTGTATTTCCTGCTATGTCGTGTGGAAATATGGTTTGGTGCAACAAAAAAAACTCCTTGGATGTTTATTTCCTTGAAGTTAAAGGAAAGGAAAATTCCTTCAATCCTTGAAAATCTAACTTTAAATATATATGAATTAGTAAGGAAGTCACATAAGAAAATACTAAAATAAAAGCAACTGAAAAGTCGCTGATGGTGTAGTTGTACACTTGCCGGACTTCTATGTGGGCAGCATGGGATCAGTTCCCACTCAATGACGGTGTGAATGTGGGTGTGAATGTTATCTATATGTGCTCTATGACTGACTGGCACCAGTTCAGGGTGTAGTCTGCCTTCCGCTTGAAGTCAGCTGGGATAGGCTCCAGCAACTCCCAGCGACCCTCTTTAGAATAAGCGGTGTTGAAAATGGATGGATAGATGGATGGAAATGAACAATAATAACATAACACATTTTGGCCTCTTACTGGCTGTGTGGTAGCATGCTTGGGTGAGGTACACACTGAAGCTGACGTCAGATTACACAAATGTAGCCCGATTTTGAGTCGACGGATGTGTCGTAGCCCCTGTAGTGTCACATTCTCAACGACTGGCCGCTTCACAAATCTACTCTGTCAGAATTGTTGCTCGTCTTGCCGCATTGTGTGTCCTATATCGTTCTTCAATTGGTGCTTCGGTATTGACCAATGGGAAAACAGTACCCTCCGACTTATGACGAGAAACTGGACGTGGTGCATGCAATCAAAATGTGGTGTGCGACTGTGCGGTCTTTCAAAAGTCACATGAACAAATGAGGAAGTATTGGAAAGTATACCAACTCCTGCTACTTTTGCTAAATTCAAAGCAAAAGCTGATTAGCAAAGGTGGTGCTGTTAAACAAATCCGTCACCTCGAGTTCTATTTTGGGACAGTCCA